GGTTGTTTTGTGCTATCGTCTATGGGGCAGTGGATTGAAGAACCTTTTTATGGAGTTTTCAAGATATTAGGTGCTACAGATGCTGGTCTAGAATCCAATATATGTCTTTGGGAGTTTATGAGTGAGTTTCAGTTTTATTTTTTTGTTAAAATTTCATTTTTTATTTTAAATTAAAAAATGTTAATGCTTTAAATTATTTAGATATATTAATATAGGAGTTTAAAAAATAAAAAATATTTTTTTAAAAAAATCATTTTAAAATTAATTACTATTACACTTGCACGCAATTTAAAAGTCAAGTAAGGGCCACTTGTCACTGAATTGAAAGGAGCATCAGTGTCACTGTTGAGGACTTGTCAAGAACTAATCTTGAATGTGACTTTCTGGCAGCAGAAAATGGGTCCTCTGTAAGATTCTGGCTTTTCCTTCGACAATTCTAACCACAGACATAGATCCAGTGGTCTGTGCTTGGAGTTGCTTCGTGTGGCTAGCAATGTTTTGCTTGAACGGTCGCTTTGAAGAATAAATGGGCCGGCATCAAATAAATGGGCCAGTTAGCATCAAATAAATGGTGAAATGACATCTAAATAAGAAATTTCAGTGAAATTGTAAATTTTGGGATGTCGCTGTCGGAACCGTGACAAAATTTCAATTAATTTCATGTTTCACAACCATATATTTATTTAATTTCAGAATTAAATTTTGGATGATTTATAATAAAATTCATAAAATTATATAAAAAAACCATAGCTTCAAGTCAAAATTTAAAAAATTTAAAGATTGATGATTTAAAAATAATTTTTAAAAACTTTTAAAAAAATTAAAGTAAAATTCAACATTATATTAAAAGTTATAATTTTTTTTAAACTATTATTTTAGTTTGGCGCAACCAAATTTTTTTGGATTTGGACTTATCATACCGATCTATAAATATATCTATTAGGTTATACATATAATCTTTATAGAGTATATCATTATTTAATTATAATAGATCTTATATCTAACTGTTTAGAATCACCCATGATAAATATTGTGTCAACAATGACTTTTTAAGATTATAATTGACGTCTATTTTTGAGTTTGTAAGCTAAATAAAAAAAAATATTTTTACTTATAAAATATATTTAAAAGAAAAAATTGATAAAATTATAATTTTTATATGAAATAATTAATCAATTATACAACTATATATAGTCATATATAATCAGTCGATAGTTGTCATATTTTAAAAATATAACATGTTTAAATATTACTATTTTAAAATATAATAACTATCTTGTTACGCTTATAAATAATGATATTTAATTAAATTTACATTTTAAAAATATAACAAGATGAAAGTGTGATATTATCTGGAAATGATATTATTATACCAAGATTTTTAATTTATTATATTAATTTTTTAAAAAATAAAAATGCTTGGAAGAGTAATTTTTATTTTTTCATTCGCTATGTCTGTTAAAATTTAAGTGCTATGTTTCTCTAAATAATTATTTTTGCTTGAGTTTTCCCCTCTCGTTTTTTTTTTTTTTGAAGTTGAGATGGTATTATAAAACGAAGATTTATATTCATACTCGAACATCAGTCGACCAGAGTATATATACAGTAAGAATGGAAGAAAAGGCTGTTATAAGATATAGTGTTTATTTTTATATGTTAAAAGTATTTTTATAGAATTTTAATTTTTTTAAATTTTTTATTTTAAATTAATATTTTTTTGATGTTTTTAGATTATTTTAATGTGTTGATTTTAGAAATAATTTTTTTAAAAATAAAAACATATTATTTTGATGTATTTTTAAGTAAATGACTTATTATCTAATACTATTTATTTGAAAAAATTAATTATAATTTATTTTAGAATATTAATACAAAAAGATAGCATTTCTCAAACAAAAGATCGATTCATGTATTGAATTTAAAATGCAAGACAACGAGTTTCTTAATTTAAGTTCAATAATGAATGAAATTTTAAATAAGTAATAAATGTACATATTAATTGAGGTGTAAAATGTAATAGCGACAATTAAAAAAAAATCCTTAGATAAATGTGATTTTAGAAATTCCAAATTCGCATCTTATGTCTAAAATTTGAAATTCTTTCTTTCAAAATAAGAAAAATCTCAATAGTGTTTTCAAATTCTTTGTAAATATTAAGATTTAATCACAGAAATTAAAGAACATACGAATGAACAAGTAATTGAGGATTTATAATCAATTTCACTTTAACGAGAGAAAAGAACACGAATGGTTATAAAAAGGCTTTCCTTTCTTCTTCAATTTCATGTTTTTCTTCATCTGTTTTCCCCCGGCATGGTGGCAAGCATGCAGATATGGTTCTTCTTTTCAATTAATTGCAAATAAAAGCATTGCAGAGGTAAGAATGGCCATGAGCAATGGAGCTCCCAGTTGTCATTAAGTGTCTTGAAGTTTAAAGGGTTTGTTGATGATGCTATATATAGAATGCGATAACAAAATCATACGTGTAGATCAGCAGCACAAGGGAATTAAAAAAAAAAAAATTGCAATCTCATATCCTAATGATTCTACAAATGTTCTATTTATTCATGTTGCATGTTGTAGCACAAGGGAATTTTAAAAAAAAATACAATCTCATATCCTAATGATTCTAAAATGTTCTATTTATTCATGTTGCATGTTTATATTAGAGAGAAAGATGATGATGTTGGATGAATGTATAAACAATTGTAAATTTAATTTGTTGATACATGGAATACTTGAATTCATGTTTTATAATGAAATTTCATATCAAAAGCTTTGCTCATTACTGTTATTTCTATATAAAATAACTCTAATATTCTATAGATACAATAAAATTGAAAACATATACTCCATTATTATATAGTTGTTTTTAATATCAATTATATATGATTGATTATTTATGTTTCTAGATTATTAATTTGATAATAAGTATTTTTATATTAATTGTGTTCAATATTTTTGAAAAATATCTTGTCAATTATAAATAAATTAAAATATTTTTTAAATAAAAACTATCACAATACCAACAAATATTAAATATATTTTATACAGCAATGTCAATCAATTTCAAAACGCTCTTACCGATGCTAGTATTGTATATTTTAAAGGCTAGAGACTCTTATTCGATCCTTAAATATATTTTATATATTATAAATGGAGTTTTAAATTTGATGGGAGTGTATGTCAATGTGAAAAGACAAACATTACGCCAACTTGAATGAATGGTTATTGCCTCCATTAGACTTCTGAAACCACAACTAATTTTCCAAGAAGGTATTTTTGTACTTTTCCTTTTAAAAATTTCTTATTTTGTGATTGCCCTTTTGCTTTTTGCTCCAAAACTCTTGTCTATACTTCCACCAATCTATTAAAAAAAGGCTTCTGCTATTGTCTATCTAGTTAGGTAAATATTTAAAAATACTTTTGACAAGTATATAACCAATCAATCATGAATAAAAAATTGCTAAAGCTTACTAGACTTTTATGTCGTATGTATTCATCATTTTGTCACGTACGTAGACCAGAATGATATGATGTAGAGCAAGAAAAAGGGTATAGTACTTAAATACAATTAGATATTTTTTTTAAAAAAATAGCATAATTTTTTAATAATTTTGGTGGAATAATAAAATTTTCTAAAGATTAGGTAAAGTAATATATTTTATATCTTTACCTTTTAAAAATGCAATAAAATGCATTTTAAAATAATAATTTTTAATAAATGTTATATTTTTAAAATATAATAGGTTAAAATTTTTAATTATTTAGCTCAATCAATCGACCAGTTAGATCTAGTTGTATAAATAATTAATTATTTTATATAAAAATCATAATTTAATAAACTTTTTCTTTCAAATATGTTTCATGAGTCAAGATATATTTTTTTTATTTAATGTGTATAATAAAAAGATATACATAAGTTAAAATTTTAAAAAGTTATTGTTACATGGTAGTTGCCCCTTATTTTTCAATATTAATAATATAATCGGGTTTATAATAATAGATAATTCTGATCAATTAAGTATGAATTTGCCACTACTAAATAAAAATTTGTTAAAAACAAATCACATTAATAGCCTAACAAAAATATTTATAAACTAGCAAAAATAAGTTTAGATTTAAGAAAAGATCTAGTTACACTAAAGTAAAATAATAATTTAAAATAATTATAATTTTTAATTTAATTATTGAAATATATTTAAATTTTTAATTAGCTAATTTCACTAATCATTTTGAACCAATTAACTGATTTAGCTAAATAATTAGAATTTTATCTTATTGTGCTTAAAAAATTCAACATTGATATAGTGGCAACGCTGGAAATTGGTGACATGGTATTTAACTACCTTCATTGGATGCCACCTCGTCTCTGATGCAGGGTTGCTTCACGCTTCAATACACGTAGAACTGGCTGGGAGGTTATCCTTGTCTATTCATCTAGGTTGGCTGACAAAAGAGATACATACAGAAAAAATATAAAAACTAAATTGGTTGAATAATATTAAATAAATACATGTCTTAACAATTTTGAATTGAGTTCTTGTATTTTTTTAAAAATAAAAAGAATAAAAAAATATATCTTCCTTATATTTGTTATCCAATTACTTTTCTTTTAAAATAGTAAGTAATTAATTCGATACAATGTTTTTAGGTGGTAATTTAAATAAAAAATATATTAATCAAACAAAGAATTCCCAAATGAAATCCTACAAGTATACTGTAATTTATTATACAAACTTGTTAATAATCATCATTAAAAAAATAAAGATACTTGCAAGTAACTCTAAAAAAAATAATTGGAATCTTCCTTTGATCTTACCTTGTGAGCTATTAATAGTCGTTGTTCAAAAGCCAAGAAGATAAGCCCGACACAAAATCAAATGACAATCAGATGGATGGTAAAAACGTAATAAAACATCCCTCTAAGACCATTATTGTAAGCTCCCACGTTAGCAGATTCTGTCTTTCTTCAAGTTCTTCAACGGTTCCTGCTTTCAAGCCCTGCTTGCCACTTGAACAAAAACCAGAACTCAAGAACACACGTAAAAGAACCCCAAGCCAACATTGAATGTAGCTAAAAAGGCAGTGATGGAAGCAGCAAGAAAAAAATTAACAAGGGTTCTTTCAAGAACCTTCATTAGTAATGTTAAAGACAAAGCTCAGAGGGTAATGGGATCTGGGTCTTCTTTTAAGGGGCTGGCCAAGTATTCAACATCTGCAGCTGCAGTAGTGAAGGATTATGAGGATTATAGGAAGTCTTTGTATGGTGATATTACACATAAAGCTTTGCTTGTTGACGCTGTTGGTACTCTTGTGGTTCCCTCACAGCCTATGGCTCAGGTGCTAATGTGTAGAGCTGTCTTCTTTTTTCTTCTTTTTGTGATTTTTAGCTCTGGTTTTCGGGTTTTTTTGGTTGCATGGATTGTGTTTTGCTGTGGGTTTTTCAAGTGGTGGTGCTTGTGTTCAAGTTTTGTTTTTTTTATTAGTGGTTTGGTTGATATGTTGGGTTTTGAATTTTGTAGTTGGTTAGTTAATTTATTCTCTTGACTTTCTCAGAAAGATTCTGGGTGGTGTTTTGAGAGCTTGTTGATTATCTGTGAAATCAGCTTCTAGCTTAATTTCAATGCTGCCATCTTTCTCTATCTCTCCAATAGAGTCGAAAGATTAGCTGTTAGATAAGAGGAAAGCCTGAATTTTTATGTCATTCATGGATTCTGTATGTAACTTTGCTCTATATGGTATATATGGCGAATAACTCGTGGCTTTCCCTTTGTGTAGTTTGTCAATATTTTTGGATGAATTATTCTGGGTGGTATTAACATTTTCTCTTTTATGGTTCTCTTGTATATATGTGAACGGATTTTCAGATGCATACAGTGATAAATTGTTGTTTTGTTATTGTAGATATATAGACAGATAGGGGAGAAGTACGGAGTGGAGTACTCCGAGGATGAGATACTAAGAAGATACAGATGGGCTTATGGGCAGCCTTGGGGCAGATCTCGTCTCAGGTCTGTTCCCTTTTCTATTTTCCCATTTAGAAGGAATTAGTTATGATATACTGCTGAATTGCTGTTGCAAAATAATGATAGCAAAGAATTTCATGAGTCTTTTTTATTACGTTGTGTTTGTTATACTGATTCATTCAGTGTCTTCATTCCATTTCCGTATAATAAGCCAAATAATGCAGCTAACAAGTCAGGTTCTTTGGTAACCTTCTTTCCATTTGGCAGATATATTATACAGATTCAACATGTGTAACAAAATCTAGAATTATTATATGCAAGTGGCTCACAACTTCCACTGCATATCATGTCTTTGCAAATGATTCGAATAGACAAATAATAGTAATTTTGCTAGGATCTCATGCAAATTTGCTTTGATGTATTTTTTGGAATGTTATTGTACTAGGAAAGGGCGTGGCCTGTTTTCATTTTTTAAAAAACTTTTTTAGGCATGATCCCTCGAGATTATTATGGAAATAATGTCAGTTTGGCTTAAAGCATTTCATTTTTTTAGTGTGCAGGGCTTGGTTCGTAAGAATATTTGATGTTATATGGACAGACTGGACTGTTAAACAATTATGAATATCCTTAAATGGATTATGGAATAAATTCCAAGAATGTGTTCCAGAATGTGATCCATGGAATCTCACCTTTTTTTTCTCTTCTTTTGAAGGTCTATTAAAGTCAAAAACTTTTTTCCAGTCAGTATCTTCCTAGGATGTCCCTACCTAGGTGCTATGTTCAAAGTCATATTGTCTACATGAGAATGGACAATGGTTGCGCATGGATGTGCATGTCTGTCAAATATTATCTCGGACTCGAAAATGAATACATATAGGAACAATGGCCATATCACAGAGTCGTGTTTTTTTTTTCAGGGGTCCTCTGATGCCAATTAATTCTTCTGTAAAAACTCCCAAGAAATTGCGTGCAATGTTTGGAGACAATTTGTTTTTCTTGCGGTGTACAGCTTGACATTTTTATTTCTTTTTACATTCTATTGCAGATATGTAAATGATGGGAGGCCCTTCTGGCAGTATATAGTCAGTTCTTCCACCGGCTGCTCAGATACTCAGTACTTTGAAGAGCTTTATAACTACTATACCACTGAAAAGGTATGCTAGGTTGTTGGAGAATAGAAATTTTTTCGCCTTTGTATATCATTTGTTATATTTTGGGTCGTAACTTTTCATGTGTTTATCTCAAGGCCTGGCACCTCTGTGATCCTGATGCTGAGAAAGTGTTTGAGGCCATTAAAAAGGCAGGTGTAAAATTGGCTGTTGTGTCAAACTTTGACACCCGACTTAGACCTCTTTTGCGGGCTTTAAACTGTGATCACTGGTTTGATGCTGTGGCAGTTTCAGCTGAAGTAAGAAAAAAACCACCCCCCCCCCCCCAAACACACACACACACCCCTCCTTTCATGACACGCATAGAGACATGCATTAAGATCTTTTCCCTTACTTTCTGACAGAAGTATATCTAAAACGAGAAAAAAATGCATAGAACAATTTACGATCTTTTTTCTTCCATATTCTGTATGTCACTAATAAGACCATTTTTGTAGATATTTTCTGCAAAGGTTGCTCACCAGTAGTCTGTTACTCATGATTTTAAGAAACTCGGAAAAAGAGAAACTAAGTTGGTCCATATTTGTATATTTGGTTTCTTGTCTCATAGTTCATTTATGAATATTTTCAAAGGGGTCAAAGGTCTGTTGTCGGCATTAGACTCTTTCCATATTATTATGTAAACTAAAGTAGAATGAAACTGATTTGTTGGAAGATAAACTTAACATCCGATCTTCAAATAATTGAATTTTGTTTCATTTTTGTTGCATTTATAATTGATCATATGCATGAAGTGTTTTGCATTTGGTGATATTCCAACAATTATATTTAGAATCTTTTCATGTAGCTAAGCAAATTAGATGAAGAATAAATTTCCTTGGTATTGGCACTGCTCTCTTTTACCAAACAGGTTGCAGCAGAGAAGCCAAATCCAACAATATTTCTAAAAGCTTGCGAGTTGTTGGAAGTAAAACCAGAAGATGCTGTGCATGTAGGGGATGATCGTAGGAATGATATATGGGGTGCGAGAGATGCAGGATGCGATGCTTGGCTTTGGGGAAGTGATGTCCACTCCTTCAAGGAGGTAAGCTTCAGTAATCAACAAAGAAATAGGAGAAAATCGACAATGAGGAAGAGAGTGTATTATTTTTTCTTGGAATTCAGTGTTTTAAATCTCATGACAGGATTCGATTACTAGAACCTCTCATAATGAGATGGAGACAGGAATGCAGTTTTTGCAGGGGAATTAGAAATCAACCCCATTTATCCTTTTAGTAATATAGCTAAAATTTGGCATAATGACTGAAATTTTTTACGAGGATAGTGATCTGACATGGAACGTATATGTTTGTTTCTGGAGTATCTATTTTGTGGCTCTAGTTAGTATTTGGACTCAGTTTACTGCAACAATGACTCAGGTTGCAATTTGCCATTGTTTATGCATAATACAAGTCGGTATCCATTTTGGACCACATTGTTGTCATTGTTTGCGATTATTATTAATTCATCATCGTCAACATTAGCTGCTTTACAGAAAGTGTGAACTCTCTTTGGATTTTGCTGGTGCAGGTCGCACAGAGGATGGGTGTGCACGTTTGAGAGAGTTTTTCTTACATGACAATCCTTAAGAGGCTTCCCTTCTGTACAGTTTTACCTCAACTTTTAGGAAGAGGTTGTGCATAGTGTTCTCAACTGTAGTCTGTAGTTAAGAAAAAGCTGCTGCTATAATAACTACTGTAAGACGAGAACAGATAACAATGAAGGTAGTGAGGGATAGAACAGCCTTTTCTTTGCCAAATACAGTGTAAGACGAGAGCAGATAAGAATGATAGAACAGCCTTTTCTTTGCCAAATACCTGATAATTTCTCATGTAAATCTCGCATGTCTTTTCCAATGTTTCTTTCTCAGGCATGCAACCTCTTTCCTTTTCTTTGTTAAGGCATGGCAGCAATACTTTATAGTTCCTTTGAATCAAGGGAAGGGTATCCCTGATTTGTGCTTCAATCCAGACAAATTCATTTTCTCAGACAGTTCTACTATGTTCTTAACAACAAAAAACATTAAATTTATTTTCTTTTATATTTTCATATCTGGTTAATGTTATTAATTTATTTATCTGTATTCTAATAAAATACTATTTTTTATGGAGTTACTAGGCACAAACTCTTTTATGATAAATTTTAATTTAAATAAAATAAAAATAATATTTTTATAGTTAAATTATTATATTAAGATGGCTATTATATTATAAATAATGGTTTTGATCCTTGTATCGTAGTTATTGATCTTGTGGAACAACTCTTCAAAATTTTTGAAAACTAAACACATTTTTCAATTTTTTATTAGAAAATAAAAATTGAGAAAGGAGAAGAAAACTGGAAATAGATGAAATGGAATTCCCGAACAGAAAGTACGAGGAAGCTTCAAAGAAGCTTAAGAACCAGTTACCGTCCCGTGGAATTGACACCCTCAATCCTCAAGAAGCAAATCGTTTCGTTAACGGGAAAAGAAACGGATCATCAATCAACCAAACGAAACAATGATTGTCTATAATTTTTGTATGTTAGCAAATTATTGATCTAGGATACATCACAGCACAATGTACATTGACATATGATTTGTCTGGTGCATAGCAGATAATTTACGAATAGTTACAAAATTTCCTCAGGAAATCATCTGTTAACTTGCAGGATTGCAACGCCAACTGCTTTAGGCAGACTTTAAAAACAGATTATTTTACATGCTTTTTCAGTGGAATGCTGGGTTAGTTCCGGCTTGATTATCAACTGAGTTACGGGTTAATTCACTAATTTGCTAGGTTTCGTGGAAGCCAATCCTAATTAAACTCTGGGTCACAGGTGTTTTTTAGGTTAAGTAAAGTTGTATTTGTTTCTTTAAAAACTGGTTTTCAAAATCTACTTTTCAAAATTTTTATGTTTATTTATCATCAAAAAAGTTAGTCAATGAAAAATATTATTTTTTTTAAAAAAATTTAGCTTGATATCTAATAAAGTATTCTCTTTTTATTTTAAATAAAAAATATTTTTTAGACATTATAAAAAATTTTAAAATATCATATTATTTATTAATTGTGTCAAATTTGATATTTAAACTTTCAATTGCTATATATTTTATTTGAATTTTTTTCAATTTTATCCCTTAAAATTTAATTTAATTTTTATATTAATTTTGATTCTTATTTTTATAATTATTTTTTACTTTTCTTATTATTTTTTTAATTAAAATTTTTATCAAATTTGATCTTTATTTTTTTAATTAATAATTTATAAAATTATTATTTTAATTGACAACATCCTTTATTTTTTTTATCTATTAAATTTAAACTCTATTATTTTTATTATTATTATTTATTTAAAATAATTTATAAAATTAAATATTTTTCAATTCTATTCTTATTTAACTTTAATTTGGAAAAATTATTTTTTATTATTTTAATAAATTTAAAAAAAATAAAATATTAATAAACTATTTTTCAGCTTATTTTTCATAACATAACCAAATACTACGAGAAAATATTTTTTAATTTATTTTCTATTACACTATTAAATATCAAATAATAATAATAACCAAATAGTTATTTTCCTAAAAAAAAAGGGGGATTAGAGAAATTTGATGTGCGTTACTCGGTTAAGCACAAGAATAACATGAAACATCTAAAGAAATTAAAATTGCCAATCAAATTGTTTTTGGACTTCGGTTTGGTTTACATGTACTTCAAGACTGGTTTTACAGTACAAACAATGATATCGTCGACGAAATCCAGAAACATGAAAAGTTTACAGTACACGCCACTTCTTTGACACAGCCTCACATATCCTTGCAATACACCAGGCAGCACTCAGCGGATATTCTGAAACTGAAAGGGACAAAAAAGAAGAATAAACGATAAGGATTTCTGTTTCAAAAACCCTAGATGTCAAATATAGACAGGATATCCAGTAGGACATTGTCTCAGCTTCACAACAATGAAAATGCAAATCCGTTTGCAGGACATTCGGAGGTTCTAAAGTGATGCCAGAAAACATTATACATGTAACCGATTGCATTTATACCCAATCAATAGATTTAACCTATTTGCTATGACTTGTGCATTAATTTGCATGGAGTCTTGATCAAAGACTCTTCGCAGAATGCTTCAAGCTAAGAAATATGTTTAGGTCTGATGCCGTCAGCAAAAATTTTGCTCCTCTTTGTTACATGAACTTTGGGTCCAAATTCTTTATCAGAAACTGACTCTAATCACTATTGATTTTTACTGTGCATGATTTCTGCATAAGATGATGTAAAGAAATGAATCTAGAAAGAGCTTACCTGATATAAAATCATCTATATAATCACATTCAATTTTACCATGGGACATAGCACCAACCTGAAAATTATTGAGAGAGATTAAAAAGGTTACAAATTTCTCAACAGAGAGCATTTATAGTACTAAAGTTACTTTTAGCATACCACGAAAACAAGGTCAGTGTCACCACCAACTCCGGCTACATACTTCTCCATTTCGACCAATTTGTCTGAGCTATGGGAGAAGCCTGATACAACAGCAAGCAACCTTTATCTCTCCTGTACCATACCATGACTTTGAAAACCATAAAAATTAAAGCTCACCTATTTTACGAGAGTTTAAAGGTAGGTGCTGGGTTACAGGATTCTTGATCACGCGCAAAAGCTTCTCACGCTTGCCAACAGCAGCAATACTAAGCTTTTGAAGCAGCTGCACTGCAATAGTGAGCAGGGTGGTAAACAACAAATACAAAGCTATATACAAAAAGAAGAAGCGCTATATACCAACACTGTAGAGAAGTATCAGAGGGGATCACTGAACTTACACATAATACCAGCAAAACGCTTATAAGTCCTTGGAATACGAACATATGGCTTGACTTCAAAAAGAACACCTTTATCTGTTTTCACATATACAGCTCGCAAACACCCAGCCTTATTCAATGGGCTATCTAAGATGGATAGGAGAGCCTGGAATTAGCAACAATGATATTAATACAAGTGTGACATATGCCAAGCAAAGTAACAATACTCTGACTAGTTTTGATACTGTTGGACCTGCTTATGAGACGGTCATGGGGTTGGTCTAAGAAGCAACATGACTCAGGAATTTGACTTCTAGTTAGGATAGGAAAAAAAAAAAATGCACCTAGAGATTTCACCAGTGTGGGAGAAAATCAACGAAGAAGAATAAGTGCTTTCAATAATAAAAGACACTAACCTGATAAATGATGTCAGGCCTGTAATCAGCAGGATTTTTATTATTCCTCCTCAGGAAATTGGCATGGTCCTCAGAATTCAAAATTTGGTAATTCTGTACAAACAAAACCAGTCAGATGAAAATGAAAACTTCCAACAAAATGATAAAACCCCAGTTCATGAAAATCGCAACAAAGAATTCAAAAATCACTCTCTGTAACCCTTAACCCAAATTCAAAACATTACACCAAGCCTGTATATCACTAATAAAAAAATCCACACTAAGCCATACAATGAATCCAGTAAGTTACTTAAAAACCAAGCATTGGAATGAACAGTTAGTCTTTAAACCTTTCCAACTTTTGCAACTTCCAAAGATGCCTTTTCCAGCACAAATATGACCCCAGGTTTTTTGGCAGTTTGAGTACTTGGGCCAACAGGAAAGCCCTCCAATTCTGGTAGTTCTTCTCTTTCCTCTTCTGTTTTTTCTTCAGCATCTTGTGCGCTTATTTCGGTCTCATCATCAGTGTTCTCTTCTTCAACTTGTTTATCTTCCGCTTCATCTTCTTCTTTATCATACCTCTCCCCTTTCTTCTTTCTCTTGTGCCCTTTACCATAAGGCCTCACCATTTTCTTCACTCGCAATAAATCTAGCCTTCACACTGAAAAAATAAATAAGAAAAGAATTAAACTTCGTAAAATCAACTCACGTAACCAATAAAGAAAAAAACACAAACTATGAATTCAAGAAAACCCCCCAAAGAATCCAAAGAAAGGATATTAGTTCCTTACCCAGTTGAAAAGGTAGCCACTGAGATAAAAGTTGAAGTGGCAGAGAGAAATATGAGGGATTTGATTAGGGCTTTAGGCTGCAGAGAGGGAGCACATGGATAGATATTTTTAGGGTTTAGTTGTGGGCCTGGCTTACCGTTCAGGCTCACAAATTGTTATTTGGAAATGGGTTGAAGTGGGTTTGGGCTACATTATAAACCTTGGGCAGCAATATGATTCGACCAGTTTTCTGGACCAGTTCTGTTGAACAGAGCTGGTGGTAGACATCGGCCAGGCAAGGCTCCCGGATTGCCTTCGAAGGCAAGTCCATGGCCATCTAGTTGCGGTGCTGGGGTCCGATTGCAAAAATAAAAGTAGTTCAGAAGGAGAAGACACTACCGTTCGAGGAGTTTTTGTAGTGGAGGGGAGAGCCGTATAAGGTTGATATTAGACCATTGGAATTCTTCTTTGCGCTGGATGCAAAATAATCATAAAAAATGAAATCACATAGGGAGTAATGCGTTGGAGCAGCTTCAAGAAGAGAACTAGGACAACAACCGAGCTCGACTTGGCCAAAATAGGGATTTTTTTAGATTAATATGGATTTTTTATTAATTTATGTATATTTCCATTAATTTTACAAGCTCTCAAATTAATGATTATATGAACTTTCGATAAGTTTGAGAGGACTCAAAATACAGATGTTCATGATCAATTTTTTTTTTTTAATTAACGTGGGTGTCCGGACCAGTTTGCGCGCATCATGACTAATCCCACGGATCCTGAAGTTAACGACCATGTA